ATTTGACACCCAGTTGTGAGATCACACATCCCTTTGTAGCTGCGGGCACAGCCTGTCACTGTGTAACCAGACACAACTGTGGGTGAATCGGGGTTTTTTTTGCCGTTTGTTTCCCATGCGCATAAACGAGGAATCGCACCTCTGCACTGAGGGCCCCCTATGGAGTATGCGATGACGCGCATACTGCAAAGGGGGGAGGAAACGGCACCAAGCCGGGATGGAATGATCAGACCATCCCAATGGCACTGAGAGCATGCCTGCGCAATCAGACAGGAAAGTCCATCTGTGACCCATCAGAACTGGACTTCCGCTGGTGTCTTTTAACTCCGCTTCTGTGGCGGAGCAGCACAGGTTGTCAGTGACTGCGGGACGCTTCCCAGATGTTGCTGCCTGATTGCACCCTTTCATTCTGTCCGCATTCACACCTCTGTCGGATCTAAAGGCGCGTGTGATCGCAGCCAAACTTTGGAAAGGGCTCAGGCACACACATACCCCAGTTTTAAAAACGTTTTTCTCCCAAGTCCATTCTGTCATACTGGAAGGTGATTACACGTGATTAGAGATTTATGGGCAACTAGAGATGTGAAGGCCCGGAAAAAAACCGGAAAAATTCGGGGAGAAAACGTTTCCCCCCCGTTTTTTTCCTGAAGCCTTTTTATTTTTTTCCGGAAAATTGGAAAAATTGAAAAAAGAAAAAAAAAAGATTATGGAACGTTTTATTTTAACATGATGAATAAAATATTTTAAGACAAGGTGTTCAAATATTTTCCAAATCATTTCTATTATATATATATATGGTATCAGATTGATCTAATTTCTGTGCACTGAGGACAAACAAGTCCTAGGTTACAAACTGAACCCTCCAATGCAAGAACAAGATGCATTTCTTCCTTTAGGAAATGCGATTGTCAGAAAAAAATTAAAAAGTTTCAGTTTTGTTTTTGCATGTGGGTGGGTATTCTGTTTGAAATAATTGTTTGGATACACTATATTTTTAATATGCTAGTTGTGCCAGATGTTGCTGTCTGATTGCACCCTTTTGTTCTGTCCGCATTTGCACCTGTGTCGGATCTAAAGGAGCGTGTGATCGCAGCCAAACTTTGGAAAGGGCTCAGGCGAACACATACCCCAGTTCTAAAAAAAAAATTTATCCGAAGTCCATTCTGTCATACTGGAAGATGATTACACGTGATTAGAGATTTATGGGGCAACCCTTGTGGATGGGTTTTAAGCCTCCTACATATTATATGACTCACAGCTGAGTGTCTGAACTACCTAAACTGAGACATCCTCCTGATGACTTCTTCTTTTCTTTTTCTTTTTGCAATGTTAAATCTCTGAGGGACGTTTTGCATTATTTATCCATTTCTGAGATTTCTATACCACATCTTTAGAGTGCTGCTCACAAAGGCTTAAAAATACATCCCAAATTATCAGTAAAAAAACAATACACCATTAAAACAAGTCCAGGGGCATGAACAGCATAAAACTATCCACAAATCGGACCTCAGGACAGAAGCAGATAATTGAAGACAGCTGGAAAGATAAAAACCATAATTAAAACCCTGGGTAGAAAGATACATTTTGAGCAGGCATCTCAAAGACAGTATAGTACATAACAGGTTGGGTTGCCAAGCTCCAGGTGGGGCCTGCAGATCTCCTGGAATTGCAATAGATCTCTAGGTGACAGAGATCAGTTCCCCTGGAGGAAATGGCAGCGTTGGAGGGCAGAGGCTATAGCATTATACCCTGCTGAAATCTCTCCCCTCCCAAACTCCACCCTTCCCAACAGTTACCCTGAAACCTCCAGGAATTTCCCAACCCCAAGCTGGCAATCCTAGCACCAGGGAAGTCTCAGGAAGGAGGGTGTCCTGAAGGCGAGGTGCCACTGTGGAAAATTATTATTCTTTATGGCATGCTCTGCTTTGAGAACTTTAGGAAGGTATCCTTTTTCTTCACAACAACACTGTAAGAAGCAGAGGAGGAGATTGGATTTATACCCCACCCTTCACTACCCAAGGGAGTCTCAGAGTGGCTTACAAACTCCTTTCCCTTCCCCTCCCCACAACAGACACCCTGTGAGGTGGGTGGGGCTGAGGGAGCTCTGACAGAAACTGCTATTTTTAAAGGACAGCTGTGCCAGAACAAAAGGTGGTTTACTATGGGAAATAGTGCATAGCTACACAGTGAGCTAACTGGGGAGTTGAACTTTGGTTTCCCCTGTTCAAGTACAGCATGCTGCCCAGTGACTGTTACCTGTTTGTTATGCTTTTACCTTCCTTTTCCTCCGAGGAGGTCAGGGCAGCATACATGGTTGTCCGCTCCTCCATTTTACCATCACAACAACACTATGAGGTAGATTAGGCTTAGAGAGAGCGACTTGCCAATGATCACGCAATGAGATTTATGGCGGGGGAGGGATTTGAATCTGGGTCAGTGTTCCCTCTAAGCTGAGTTAGTGTGAGCTAGCTCACAGTTTTTTTAGCCTTTAGCTCACACATTTTTGTCTTAGCTCAGGAAGGATGGCTCCAGAACAAAGTAATTTATGCAGTAGCCAAACCCCTGCGGCCGGGGGTCATAGGACCTGGGCTCCTCCCAGTCCTTGGCAGATGCTGTAACCAAATATGACAACAGTTCATTCCCCTCTACCCAAATAGTTTTTCTCAGTGCCAGAAGGAAGAATTGCAGTTCCTTCATGGTTGTGCAGTCAACTGCTGTCAAGTCGCTTCTGATTTATGGTGACCCTATGAATTCATGACCTCCAAAATGTCCTATCATTAACAGCCTTGCTCTGGTCTTGCAATCCATGGTTTAAAATGTGGTTTTTGCAGTGCCTCTATGGATTCAAGTTACAGAGCAAGTGCAATTTAGATTTGACATCAGAGATGAACATTGCAGGCGGAGAGCAGCCGTGATTATCTCCCCCACATTCCAGGGCAAGGTAGTCTCTGTCAAGAAAGCCCTCCTCTTATGTAGCTATTGAATGCCTTTTCTACTTAGGAATGAGTAATTACTCCCATTTAAATCACACCACTGAAATTCCCTCTGCACCTGGTTTCCATCTAGCATGAATCCACAGGACCCCTGTTCTATAGTGTTTTTCAGTTCTCTGGAGTTCCAGTTCATTATAACATACTCCAGTTGCCAAGCCCTGTTAAATGTTATTCCTCTGGAAAAATCATTTGTGGGCCTTGGTGTTTCAGGACTGTGCTGGCCACCCAGTTTGTTCTGAGAAACTGTCTTTAAATGCAAAAACTGGCAGCAGCTGTAAGTGCCATAGTTTGGATTTCTTTTTTAAAGAAATCATTGGCTAGTCATAGGAGCACCACAGCAGGTAGCAAGAAACAGCCATTCATGCAAGAAGTCTCTGTGCTTCATGACGTACTTCTGTTTAAAGGGGACTCCACAATATAATTTTGCCATGTTTCAACACTTGGTTCCCCCTTTAGTACTCTGAGCTCCCTGAAACTTTTGATCCTGAGAGTCATTGGACCCACAAGGACAGTGCAGTGGCAAAATGGAGGTTTGAACTGTGAGAGGGTAATTTATGGAAATCTCTGACCCCCTGTTAATTATGCTCTTGTAAAGGGGTCTCTCTGGGCCAGTTGTATGTTGTCTTCTGGGCTTTTTACAGTGCAATTCTAAATTGGGATGTGGAAAGGTATAGTATAGCCTAACCTTGTCAGATCTTGGCAGCTAAGCAGGGTTGGTAGTTGGATAGGAGACCACCAAGGAAGACTTTGCAGAGGAAAGCAATGGCAAACCACCTCTGCTCCTTACCAACCTTGAAAACCCTATGGGATCACCATGAATCAGCTGCAACTTGACAGCAATGTATGCACATGAGCACACTCCTAAACAGAGTTGGTGCTGAAAAGTGCCATCAAGTCGCAACCAACTTATGGCAACCCCAGGGGATTTTCCAGGTGTAATGTATCGGAATCCTCACTTGAATCGGCCCATTTACATTCAATGTTAAGCTTCAAGCCAGACCAGGGCTCCTCTGAGCGAACTTCCTATTGGTCGCTTCGTAACAGCGACCAATCAGAACGATACCATTCCCTAGGAGGGAAAGACTCCCATTGGCCTGATAGGAGACCACCAAGGAAGACTTTGCAGAGGAAAGCAATGGCAAACCACCTCTGCTCCTTACCAACCTTGAAAACCCTATGGGATCACCATGAATCAGCTGTAACTTGACAGCAATGTACACACACAAGCACTCTCCTAAACAGAGTTGGTGCTGAAAAGTGCCATCAGGTCGCAACCAATTTATGGCAATCCCAGGGGATTTTCCAGGCAAGAGACATACAGAGGTACTTTGGCTTTACCTTCTTCTGCATAGCAACGGAGTCCTTTGTTAGTACGATCTAACACCAGGCAAGAGACATACAGAGGTACTTTGCCTTTACCTTCTTCTGCATAGCAATGCTGGACTTCCCTGGTTGTCTCCCATCTAAGTACTAACCAGCGCCAACCCTGCTTAGCTTCTGAGACCTGACTAGATCAAGCTAGCCTGGGCCATCCAGGTCGGCACAATCTTCTAAATCCATTGGCAACCGTGGGTGTAGCTCTGGTTAGGATTGCATTGCAAGGTTCTTAAAATCTGTGGATTTTAATGGAAGCCTATATTATAACATGGGTAGGGGGTTTTCCCTGCAAATGGAAAATGGAGCCTTAAAGCCTGTCTTTCATTGTTTGTCAAGAATCAGATCACAGTTTGACTACGACTGCCCACATTATTACTTAATTGGTTACAAGTTGAAGCCAGTCCACAGAGACGGATTGCCCAAATGACACTGTTCTTTATTATGGTTTTAATCACTGGCATTTTATTGTTGCTAACATTGATACTGTTTTGTTTGAAATTTCTCTTTGATTCTCTCTACTGCTCCCTATTGACTACATAATCACTAACATTTGTTGCATGTTGCAGAAGTGACAGGCATCCAGTCTTCTGTATGTATTTTAAATGCCATCTGTGTAAATGCTCTCTGCAGATGTTCAGATCTTCTCGTACACAATGACCTCCCCACAACCAGCATCATCATGTGTTTTGTAGATGAAGTGTGGTCCACTCTCCTGCGTTCCGTTCACAGCGTCCTCAACCGATCTCCTCCTCAGTATATTAAAGAAATCATTTTGGTGGACGACTTCAGCACAAAAGGTAGACAGCTCTACATGTGGTTAGTGTGACTTCTTGACCAATTCATTTGCCTTTAACTTTCCCAAAATTTCAAGCTGATTTTGTTTCATTGCATTTCTACATAGCCTATTTTTTAAACAGAGATAGAGATTACCTCTGCATAGGAGACAGTAGATGTACTCTTAACACCTGACTATATTGAAAAAGTATATTTTGACACAAGGATACAGATCAGAGAATGCTGTGCTCCATCCTGGTTTCATCAGATGGACTTTCCTGTAGAGAGAAGAAATATATGCAACTACATTTCACTATGGGCTAGAGGTTTTCCAGTCAAATTCACAGACGCTACCACTCACAGTGGAGTTTACAGAACTGATAAAATGGGGGGAATCCATGAATGGATTTACTGGAAACCTGAATTTTATTTAGAAACAGCCATGATGTCCCAAATTGTTTCAAAGCTACAGTGATGAGGGAGGCACGATTTCTTGCTGCCCCAAGTAGCAGGTACTGTACACTACCTGTTGCAATCCAAGTTTACCCTAAATGATGCTAGCAGTGCCACAGAGGCTCACCTTGGATGTGGGTACACAGCTTGGGTCTGGGAAGGGCTGTCTCTGCCATAACCACCAGGAGGCAACCTCCAGCAATCTAGTTATGCCCTTGTATAAGCCCATAATTTAGAAAGGTATAAGTCTGTTTAACCCTGAGAGCCAGTTTGATGTAGTGGTTAAGTGTGCGTGGACTCTAATCTGGGAGAACCGGGTTTGATTCCCCACTCCTCCACTTGCACCTGGCTGGATGACCTTGAGCAAGCCATAATTCTGGCACAGCTGTTCTTGAAAAAGAGCAGTCTCTGTCAGAATTCTCTCAGCCCCACCTACCTCACAGGATGTCTGTTGTGGGGAGGGGAAGGGAAAGGAGTTTGTAAGCCGCTCTGAGACACCTTTGGGTAGTGAAGGGTGGGGTATAAATCCAATCTCTTCTTCTTCTGAAATGGATGGACCAGGCTACTCAAGTCTCGTCAGATCTTGGAAACTAGGCAGGGTTGGCCCTGGTTTGTATTTGGATGGTAACCCACGAAAGAAGCCCAGAGTTGCTATGCAGAGGCAGGTTTGTTTGTCTCTTGCCTTGAAAACCTTACGGCATCACCATAAGTCAACTGCAACTTGACAGCACTTTCCATAAAGTCTGTTTAGGATTGCACAGTAAGAGTTTGAGAAGTAAATCCTTATGGTCCCTTTATCTGTTTCTTTTTTTTGTCGATCTAGCTTACCTCAAGGATAAGTTAGACCAATACATGTCGAAGTTTCCCAAGGTTCGTGTCCTTCATCTCAAAGAAAGGCATGGTTTAATACGAGCAAGGCTGGCTGGAGCAGAGATTGCTAAAGGTACATACCGTTGTCTTTTGTTTTCAGATGGCGGTTGGATATTTATTTGCTCTTCACTGTTTATTATATAAGACTAGCAGTAAAGCCCGTTGTGAAAGCAATACAACGGGATCTAGAAAGAGGCTCTGGGGCAGTGCTCTGGCTTTGGGCAAACAGTGTCAATTTGCTGTGGTGACCTCAGCAGGGTATAATGACAGAGTCCACTGTTTTCTCCAGAGGAACTGATCTCTGCTACCTGAAGAGCAGTTGTAATTGTGAGTAATCTGTAGCCCTCACCTGGAGATTGGCAGCAATTGTTACCCAGGACAAAATGGCTGGTTTGGAGGGTGGAGTCTATGGCATTCTACCTGTCTGAGGTCCCACCCCTCTGCAAACCCCACCCTCTCCAGGCTCCACCCCTCAAATCCCCAGGAATTTGTAAAAAAATATTCATCAACTAATGTTTTGTTAAAATAAATGGAATTAACCATATTTAAGTTATATTAAGTTCAGTGGGATGTAGGTACACTTAATGTTCACAGGACTGTATATAATTTCTACACTATTTAAAAACAGACCAAATGTAGAAATAAAACAAAGAGAAAAGAGTTTCCCCTACAGATATACAGACTGAACTTTTCTACTGTTTTGAGTAATTAGTGAAGGAGAGGGAGGGATGGATTTTTTTCCAGAAAAGTCTTTTGTTTATGAAAATATTCACCCGTTTTTATTTCAGTGGTATTATCTCACCTACTGCCGCAGCATCAGCACCTTTTCTTCTGGTTACTGCTCCCTTTTATCTTCTTCAATTAGTCACAGGGGTTTGATGTCATAAAGCTAGGAAAGCTAATCAGATTTGGCTATGCAATGACATCATGGGGAGAGACTGAGTCAACAGAAAGTGAGGGCACTTCCTGGATCAGTCACATGGGTGATACTGGCTAATGAGAGATGATACAGTGGACGGATGATATTATTTCACAGTCTGAACTGTCTCTCCAAAGATTATGGCTTGGCTTCTTGGCTCCACTCTAGTGTTTTTGTGAGCACAAGGACACAATTTCCCATCACCCCCACATGCACCCCCCATCTTGTTACTGGGGAGGGGGGGACTACCAGGTCCTCTTTAAACAGAAATACTTCATAAAACACAAAGGAAATGGATTTTATGGGGCATATTGGGCTGATACAGGAGGGAGGAGAGGGAAAATTGCATTCCATAAATGCTAATGTGGATTGGGTTGTGGTTAGATCCAGCCATCTGTTAGCAGAAAGTGCTGATGATCACAGATGTTCTCCATTCCCACCCCCCTTCCTGGTAGTCCCTTCAACCACCAGGAATGTTGATTCCTGGGGTCATGTTTGGCATAATAGCCATGTGAACAGGGAGGCTGCAGTAAGGAGGAGGAAGGGAGTAAAATTACCCTTCCTGCCTCTTCCATCAGTAGACCTGGATCCAGTACCATATAAAAGCATAGTAAAATACAAAACGGTTTGTTTTTAGTGCTCTAAAAATTAGTTGGAAAGCATGTATAAATCTGATCAGTATTTAGCCCGAGCTTGTCAGAGCGTGGAAGCTAAGCAGGGTTGGCCATGGTTAGTACTTAGACCACCAAGGAACTCCAGGGTTGCTATGCGGAAAAGGACAATGGCAAACCATCTCTGCTCATCTCTTATTTATTTTATTTATTTATTTAAGACATTTTAACCCCGCCCTCCCCGCAAGCGGGCTCAAGGGCGCCTTACAGGGGGCACAAGCCCAGCATAAAACCCAATAAACAGTAAAATCACAATTATAATTGCCTAAAAACCTCATGAAGTGTTATCAGTTGCAACTTGATGGCATTTAATGTGTTACTCAGTTGTTCAAATTATAAGGATATTTGTTCTTTATAAATCACTTCAATTTTATCCAAGCTTCCAGGCAGATCTGTCAAATTCTATACATCTATTCTTGCAGATTGCCTTAATGAAACCACCCTTTGGTGACCAAATTCTACACTTCAGCTTGGTCAATATTCCAATCTTTTTATTAACTACTGTGTGTTAGTGAAATCAGCGATTATTGAGGTTATGCATTTTTTATGTTTTTATCCATGTTTAGCTTGTGCTTTGAGATCGGTGCCAGCTGATCTTTGATCATAGTAAATGAATAAAACTTAGCAACTTGAATTAGTTACAAAACAATCCAGTGATTTAATAAGGCTGGGAAAGAATGACTTGAGAAAAAAAATCACTGAAGGATTCATGGTGAAGAATGGATTTTATATTATATCAATCTTCACCACCATATCACACCAGTAGAATTCTTCTAATACTATCATTCTCTTTCAGTTGCCTCCCTCACAAGAGGCCATCCAGGAAAGACTCTCAGAGCAGTTTCTATTGCCCTAACAGAAATAATTCATTGGTGTTTTCTTCTTCAGGTGATGTACTGACATTCTTAGATTCGCATGTGGAATGTAATGTAGGGTGGCTGGAGCCACTACTGGACAGAATCTATTTAAACAGAAAGAAAGTTGCCTGTCCTGTTATTGAAGTCATCAGTGACAAAGACATGAGGTAATGTTTGTCTCAATCCAGCCATTGCAATTAATGCACAGGAAAGAGGTCCAGCATATAAAACACCATTGCAAGTCATGCTGTTTGATAGCCAGCCATTGCAATTAATGCACAGGAAAGGGGTCCAGCATATAAAACACCATTGCAAGTTAAATCCTACGTTGGCATTAGTCCTGACACTGCTGATAACCTTTTGAGTGGGACGTGTCTTTATCTGCTGCCTGGCAGTGCTTTAGAGAGGCAACCTGCAGTCCAGGGAAAAGCATAGTTTTAAGATTCAATTCTGGTCCTCCTCGCCCACTGCTGTCAGTAGATAACAGTGGGTTTAAGTAGTGGAAATATTAACATAATCCCAGACTAAGGGGCAGGAGGGAGTGGCTCTGTTCATTCGGGTAGGTTACACCTTCAGAGTGCTTGTGCCACTGAAGATCATGGGCATAGAGTGTGCCAGCTTTATATGGGAAGCCAGGGAGAGTTTGGCTGTCTGGCTGGTGTACCGTCTGCCCAACGCACTAGCAAATAGCCTGCCATCCCTGCTGGAGGCCATATCAGGCTGGGCACTGGAGCACCATGGACTGTTAGTCCTGGGAAACGTCAATGTCCATGCCGATGAGGCGACCTCCATGCAGGCAATGGATCTGGTGTCATCCATGGCGGCACTAGGACTCTCCCAATATGTTACAGTTCCCACTGACAGAGTAGGGCACATGCTCAATATGATCTTCACAGCAGGGGTTACAGTGGACTGAATTACTGCCACGGCCATTCCATGGTTGGAACACCATGCTCTGAAAGCCCATGTGAATGTGCCACCCCGACCCTGTTTGGGCGTATTTTAGCTCATCCGCAGAGCCAAGTGGACCCTATGTGGTTTCAAATGGCCCTGTGGGATCTGATGCACCCTGGCGGCTCACTGGATGATCTTGTCAAAGACTGGCAAAGCCAACTCTCGGCAGCCACTCTGCCATGACTGGTTGGCTCAGACTGAGTTGACTGAAATTGAATCCAATGAAGACGGAGGTCCTGTGCTTGGGTCGAAGTGAGTCAAAGTTAGGGATCCCTCTCCTGACCTTCAATGGGACGCCATTGGTGCCAGCACCAGAGGTTAGGAATCTGGGAGTGCTCCTGGATGCCTTCTTAATGATGGAGGCCCAGGTAGCAGCCACTGCGGAGTCTGCCTTTTACCATCTATAGCTGATTAAGCAGTTGGTTCCCTTCCTTGAATGCAGTGATCTCGAAACAGTGATCCATGCAAAGGTCACCTCGCAATTGGACTACTGCAATGCTCTCTACATGGGGCTGCCCTTGTCCCAAATCCAGAAGTTGCCGCTGGTGCAGAATGCAGCGGCGAGGCTCTTGTTGTGTCTTCCT